TACAAATGAGGCAAGAGCAGTACAGAGAGGTTAAGTAACTTGCCTACTATTGCACTGCCAGGGTATGATTTCAAACAGTCTGTCTCCAAAGCCTGATTCTCAATCATTAGGCTCTGTTGCTGTCTCCTTGTTGCTGCTGGTTGCTGTCCAGTCATCTCTGGCTCATGGCAACCTTATATATAACAGAACAAAACGTTCATCAGTTCTGTGCCATTTTCATGATCATAGGGAGGTCTGAGCTCATTGTTGTGGCTACTGTGTCAATTGAGGGTATCCCTTGTATTTCCTGCCCCTCTACTTTACCAAAAAGGATGTCCTTTTCTAGCTGTCTATAACAGTTAAAAACAAGTTAATGAAGAGGTAAGAAAAAAGTTTGGAAATTTACACAGGCAGCACTTGTGTTGATCACAAAAAAAGGCTGTGTTGTTTCAAGAGTAGATGTACAGAACAGGTTCTGCCTTAAAGCCAATGTATGAAACAATAAGCCAACTCGTGAAATAAAGTTCTGTTTGTAGTTAAAAAAAAAAAAACTATTGTGTAAGCAACATTATAATAATGGCAAGGAATTACAAGCTTTATAAAATCAATGATACTGCTAACAATCATATCAATTTTCACTTTTCCATATTATTTTTCACTTTTCATTTAAATACATATGTAACTTTACATGGTTTGTAACTATAGTATGATTTTTAGATTCTGCTGCCCTATTTACTTTATATTTTATCTTCCACACAATTCTAGTTGGCTTCATGATAATTATCAAAAGGTCTTAAGTTTTCATTTAGTTTATAAGTCAATGCATCAAGTGATACTCATTTTAAAAATGAGTTTTTTAACTTTTCTAATTTCAATCCGGTGGTTGGTGGGGTGGTTGACTGGTTGATTTCTAATCACAGCTTTTAAAGTAAACACTTAGAGTTGCAGTAAGAAGAGAAAGAAGAATACGTTCAGCATTTAACGTGTTCTAATATGCATCATCACAAATGTTAGATAGGAGAAACTTCCAAACACATACAATTATGGAATTTAAAAGTAACCTTAAAATTCTAACTTCCATATTACATATTTCTATAGCATCTTTCTTCTATAAAATCTCTTAAAGGTATCATCCTGTGTCTTTCGTCGAATACTTCTAAACATCTCATTATTTATAAGCAAATTTTTTTTAGTTTTTTAAATTGTACTTTAGGTGAATGTTCACAGAACAAATAGTTTCTCCTTAAACAGTTAAATTAGTACACATATTGTTTTATGACATTGGTTAACAACCCCATGACATGTCAACGCTCTCCCTTCTCTTTTTTTCTTTTTTTTTGGTGAAAATATACATAACCAAAGATACACCATTTCAAAAACTTCTACATGCACAATTCAGTGACGTCGATTACGTTCTTCCAGTTGTGCTGCTATTCTCACATTAGATGAAGGTTTACAGAACAAAATAGTTTCTCATTAAACAGTCAGTACAAATGTTGCCCTATGTCAAGGATTAACAACCCCATTACATGTCAACACTGTCCTTACTCAACCTTGGGTTCCCTATCACCAGCTTTCCTGTCCCTTCCTGCCTTCTAGTCCTGGTCCCTAGACTGCTATGCTGCATTAGTCCCATTTTGTTTTATGTGGCTGTCCAATCCCCGGCTGAACAGTGAACCTCGGAGGTAACTTCACCAATGAGCTAAAAGGGTGTCTGGGGGCCAAACCCTCAGGGTTTCTCCAGGCTCTTTCAGGCCAGTAAATCTGGTCTTTTTTGTGTGTTAGAATCTTGTTCTACATCCTTCTCCAGCTCTGTCCAGAACTCGCTGTTGTGATCCCGGTCAGAGCAGTCAGTGGTGGTAGC